CAGTGTGTGACGCCGGTGGAGACAATACGTGACGCCAATTGATTTCGTCATTGTCCCTTGTGTTCGGAGTGGGGGATTGTGAATTATCACTAGCTGTGTTGGAAAATTATTTGGTTTTCCGGTTTAAAAAAAGAAAAAAACAAGGGATTTGCGTGGTGGCAAATATCTCGAGAATCACTTGATTTAGAGGACAATGTCATAAAACCTTTTTTGTAGAGAATTTCGTGGCCTACAGGAACGCATTCTGACATTTTTCTGTAACCCTGATGGTTCACGAGATATTCTCGAAATAATCGCTGTGGGTCTGGAAACTTCGGTTCAAACGGTGAATTCTTAAAGTATTTGATACACTGTTGGAAAAAAAAAGAAATTTCATCGACAGTTGACTACTAATTTCCAGGACTATGACACTGAATGAGATTTAGGGGGAAAAAATCGTGTAATTTCAGGTTTCAGCGAAAATTCAGTAATATTCCAGAATTTTAAGCAGCATAAAGACGAGAATTCCTCAATTTATTTGAATTTACAATCTAGTATGAATGTGAAATCTCAAATTTCATGATTTTTTCCCCCCAAATCCCCTTCAGTGTCACTGTCCTGAAAATTCAAGACTATATTTAACAGAATTTTCTCGTTTTCTAGTTATTTTCAGAGGAAACTAAAACTGAAATTGACCGTTCTCTTCGATTTTTCCACGAAATTTTCTGAAATGTAACTAGTCATTAAATTCGATAAAAATTTCCAAAAAGTGTGTCGAAAATTTCAGACAAAAATTTCTAAGTGTATTAGGAATCTTCATTTTTCTGGTTAAATTCTCTTCGTACCAAACATTTAAGCATTTTGATATTTGAATTCTTCTCATGTCGATCACTCCTCGATTTTATTCATTCATATTTCTTTTCTGGTTAAACTATGATTAACGAAATTGCTCCTGATGACGTGAAAAAATCTTGAAATTTCAAATTTCACTGAAAATTCTGTAAAATTCCAGAATTCTAAGCGGCATAAAGACGAGAATTCCTTAATTTATTTGAATTACCAATCTAATATGAATATTCAGTGCCAAATTACATAGAATTTCCAGTAAAATCTGAAATTTCATTATTTTTGCCCCCTAAATCGCATTCAGTATCACTGCCCTGAAAATTCCAGAACATATTTGCCGGAATTTTCTGGTTTTCCATTTATTTTCTGCGAAAAATGGAATTGAAATAGACAGTTCTCTTCGATTTTTTCACGAAATTCTGAATTTTCAACGACAAAATTTCCTGAAATTTCAGTGGTAATTAAATTCGATAAAAATTTCCAAAAAGTGTATCGGAAATTTCAGACAAAAATTTCTAAGTGTATTAGGAATATTCATTTTTCTGGTTAAATTCCCTTCTTACCAAACATTTGAGCATTTTGAGATTTCAATTCTTGTCATGTCGATCACTCCTCGATTTTATTCATTCATATTTCTTTCCTGGTTAAACTATAATTAACAAAATTGTTTCTGATCGCGTGAAATGCCCAACTCACTGTCATACCACGCACGTTTCATGCATACACACGCCTGATTTCTTCAGCATAATAATACACCGTTGAAGACTGTTGCTGTCATTATCCAGACTTCAAGGTTCAGAACTTTGTTCTGTATTCGTTTCCTTCGTCAGAGTAATGCAGGGACAGCCATATAGGGAAGACCGGGGCAGAGCGGGGTAGCTACGACAAAGAGGCGGGTGTCAGAGCTTCTATCATGCTTATATTGCTTTTTGGTATTACAGTTGGGGGCACAGTGGAGTAGTGTCCAAAAACTTTAAAATAATTATAAATGTTGTTTCTTTGTTTTTCACCTTCGAATCTCCAAAAAACGACAGAAAAATTCTGAAATCGATAGGGTTTTAATCAAAATACCTAATATGGCGGCTCATCCCAGTGTTTGAAAGAATTGAAAGAATTTGAGTAGTTTCATTTGAAAACCAGAGTTGAAGACCAGAGTTTGTAGCAGAGATGTCAGACAAGATACGAGTGTTTTTTTGGGCTCAAATGAAAGAGCGGCTCGAGAAATGGCGTGCTGATGCCTCTAAAGATGGTTTTGAACCAGGGGAGACTCCTAGACCCCAATGTTCTATACATACTCCTAGACCCCATTGTCCTCCTAGACAATGTTGTCACAACTCTGCTTTTCAATTGAAAACAGACATCATCTTTGGAGACATTTGTCATGTTTAGAGGCACTAGCACGCCATTTCTCGACCCGCTCTTTCATTTGAGCCCAAAAAAACATTCATATCTTGTCTGACATCTCTGCTGCAAACTCTGGTCTTCAACTCTGGTTTTCAATTGAAACCCTTCGGCCGGGCTACGCTGTACTTTTAAATATTTTCAGTTTTTCAATTTTTCAATTAAATTGCATGGAAAAAATTTGAAAAAATTCATACCCAGTCAGTATTATCTAAATTAAATTTCGCAAAATATTGATATTTTTTCAAACACTTCCCCCTTATAAATAAATAATAAAACTTGTTTCCAAAACGGTGGATTTTTTTAAATGAGGTGTCAAATATTCTTGATTTTTTCACATCTAATGAAAAAAATTCAGATTTTAATCTTTGATTACAATGGAAATTTTGATTTTCACATAAGACACTGGGTTGAATCCGAATTTTTAAACATTTCTTCTTTGAAATACCAACACGATAATTGAATTGATAAAAAAATTTGAATTCCGAATCTGATCGAGTTTCTTGCAATTTTTTTGCAGTTTTCAATAATCTTTGAATTTACCGTAACGGTAGAGCTACTTTAAACCGTTTTATCACTTCGCTACTGAATTGTACTAAATTCACCTTTGATAGACTCTTGGGACCGTCAAAATAATTAAAATGTGATAACGCACGATATCTGAATGAGCATAAAGACAGACATAAGTACAGGTACATTTACCTTAGCGAGAAGAAAATTATCTCACACTAACATCCCACTGATGTCGAATTGGGTAGGTGTTAGAAAAAATTATCTCTTCACAGGTCTCAACTGCGTCCTCGGGCCTATCAAGCCCTTGACATTCCACCAACACCGGGCACGTCAAGGTCAGGGACCATAAAAGAGTTGGATATAAAATCTTTGAGTTCAAGGGAATGCATAAAAAAGAATTATGGTATTACTTCACGAGAAATTTCAATTGCCTGATTAACGTGGTGAAGAAACACAAAAAACGTTAATGGCACTGGAGTTGACGAATGAGAAATAAAACAATGAATGATAATCATCAAATACTCGATCTGGATTGATGACTTCCACTTATCAATTATTATGAATTCATTATTTGAATGTTAATCATTAAATACTAATGTCGATGATTGATTGATAGTGAATTTTTGGGCAGCAACGACGATACACTAGTATTGCATTAATCAATAATTCATTAGTTATCATTGATTATTGCAAATGATTGATTATCTTTTGTTATGTGTATTTTTTTCGTCATTTTCAGTTTAGAGAAAATCTGAAACGACTTCTAATATCTAGAAATTCTAAGAATGTCTCCCCATTAGTCACCAAAAATCGCTCATCAAAAATCATTGATGCAACTGAATTATTTTTCTTTATTTCTCATTTTTACAAACTGAACAAAAGAGTCTTTTCACCGAAAGTGTTGAAGAATAATAAAAAATATATTATTCATGATTTTCTTGAATAATAGTTTATAATTAATTGATAACTATTATTATGAATCATCGATCATTTTTTAGCCCCATTTTTTATAATCTTTTGTTTTAAAAAATCAACAAAAAATCCTTTCGAGGACGGATCATTCCGAGAATGTCTCACGTAATCATCGAACATCGCTGATTACCAGTTGTTGATTCAATTAATTAATTTTTCATTAATTTTCGTGTTAAAAAAATTAATTTATATTTTATTTCTGCTTTATAATAATAAACAATAATCAACAATAACAATTATGATTAATATCAATAATTACTAATAGTTACAATTATTAGTTTATTAATTGATCACGTTTTCCCAATTACTTTCATCTCAGATTTTTATTCTTTGCTATTTTTTTATGTATTCTATCAAAATGTGGGGCTAGAAATTGAATTGATGGGTATTCTTTCATTATTTGAAAAAATATGTCAATTACAAAACTTTCCGGAGACATTGAAAAGTCGAAATTTTTATTTTCTTGCTGATCACGTATCTCTGTTCTTCTTTTCACTTTTTTTTATTGAAATTAGATCATAGAAAGGGAACATATTGATATTTTTTCGTCATTTAAAAAAAAAATCAGTTTTGAAATTTTTCAGAAAAATAAAAAATTATTTTCTTTTATTTTCTTGCTGATCATCTCTCCCTGCATTTTTCTCATTTCTTCTCAATGTAATCAGATCATGAAAACGAAAAATTTCATTTTCATGATCTGATTTCATTGAGAGGAATTATTATATTATACTGATATTATTGAACATAAATATCTCTTCATTTAAAAATGAGAAAAACTGTTCCCACAATTTCTATACTGCAATGGAAATTGAATCTAATAAATTTAATTTAATCTAACCACAAAGAAAAATTGGAAAGAAAACAATAAAATAAATTAATATAATATAATATAATATAATTAGTCAACAATTAATCATGTCTTCCCAATTATTTTCATAACTCTTTGCTTGAAACATGAAAAAAATCCCCTCTGCAGTGAAAAATCCCAAGAATATCTTAATTAGTTATAAAAAATCACTCCTGAGGAGTCACTGATCCAATAAATTAATTTTTCATTAATTTTCGTCTTTGAAAATCCAACAAAAAAATTCTGTTGACAATGGAAAAATCTCTCTTACCCATGCAGACTTTGCTCCTCAGTCCCCTGTGTTTCGTTCCCATTCTCTTTCCATTCTTATTATTTTTCCATTCGACTAAAATTCCCCCCTTCGTAAACTAACGACGGTCAACGGTGACGGCCGTTGACGCACTGTCGTTCTTTTCCTCGATTCAGTCCGTGTCCAGTCGCGGTGGCACGTGTATCGCAGGCATCGAGCGGTTCGTCGCGTCGCCTGCTTTTTAAAAGTTTCAATCAACGCGAATCGAACTAAATAATCTGACATCCCGCAAATATTTGTTTCCTCTCGGGCGGAAGTTGCATAATCGTAAATAAAAAATTGATGAAAAAATAATTTCAGTTTTTCGAGGTGTTCAACATTTTCGTGCATCACGGATAATACTTGTACACTAGTTGCATTCTTCGAATGTTTTTTGACATTTGGATAACGCAAGGGACTGAATATAATGTGAGTAAGAATTTTTTTCCGGAGGTGAAAATTTTTTTCGTTCGAAAAATTGCGATTTTTGGGGGAATTTTTGATGAATTAATTCAGCCAGAGAAATTTCAGATAGAAAAATCGGTATGACCTTTGTTCTATTTCCGCTTGTTTATTTATTTATTTATTTATCCCTTTATTCATTTATTTATTTATTTATTTATTTATTTATTTATATATTTATTTATTTATTTATTTATTTATTTATTTATTTATTTATTTATTAAGCATTAGAAACCGATTTACAAAGTTTATTAGCTACAAATGGAACATAATTTGCATGAATGCAGATAATTAGACCGCATTCATAAGATTTTTCGTTCACATTCTGTGAAAGATTTATCAATAGCATCAATTAGCAGTTTTCGAATAAATCTAGGCGAAAGTATGGAAATGAAAATTTCCTAAATTGTGAGGGGAGCGATGGAGATAAGGAGGTCGTTATACTGTATTTTCCAGCTGATATTTCCCTGGCTATCGACTTCGGTCACTCATGACCCCAATTCCTCTTGAATGAAAAACTGAATTCTGATGTTATTCGCGCAAAATGGCTCATTTCCAAAGTAGATGATTTTTGCATTAGCGATATGTTTGTTTGAACGATTGCAGAGGTGGTATGAAAAATTTTAGGCAAAAAGCTCAAAATGATGAGCCATTTGTGCGGAACATTTTTGCAGAACATTGAAAAAAAAAATTCTCTTCCGAATTCGAATGTAATAATATTTCGACGAAATTACTGGAGATGAAATGATCGTAATATTGTACTTTCTGATTGACTAGGGTCACTCATAACCCCAATTCCTATTATAATAGAAACTGCATTTTAACTTTTTTACGTTTTGAAATGGGAATTTCTAAAATAGTTAATTTTTTCGTTTCCGACTTTGATTAATTGTTTTATGATTGTTTTGTGAAGAAACAAAAAGTGGATTACTGTGTGTGAATGAAATGAGGTGTCTGATTGTGAGTCGATAGCCAGAGAAATCTTATTTTGAGAACTCACTATCATCTTTTATAGTTTCGGAGAAAATCTAAAAAAAAATTGATTGTTGCAATTCGAGGGAAGTTACTGGAGATAAAAATCCTGTCGAGCTTTCCAAGTGACATTTCTCTGACTTCTGCATGGGGTCACTCACAACCCCAATTCCCGTTGAAAACATAAACTCCATTCAGACTTTTTAGACTCCAATAACCCACGACTTTTAAAACTCATAGTAGTCTCCCCTTAATTCATGTTTGAAATTCGGACAAATTTGCATTTTATTCAACAGTTTTTTAATTGTCTGAAAAATGTCTACAAAAGGTGTGCGAAATTTAGACAGTCGTTTTAACTGTGCATCTATTGGGGTCACCCTCAGTCCCAAAAACTCACATTAAAAATAAAATCCACCCAAAAAAAAATCGCGAATTTTCCCATTTTCGCCCAAAAACAAGACGATTTCTATCCACAATTCGGTAAATCCACCCGTGACCTTAACAATCGATATTGAACCCTGTTTTCCATCGACAAATGTGTTATGCAATGAGGCCAAAGGTTCCCAAACGCTTTAATCATGGATTGTTCTTAAGCTAACGTTTTATCGATGATCAGATGACGCTTAATTGAAAATACCGACGACAAAAAATTGGATAACTATTTGCAAGAATTAACGTTCAGGGAATTAATTTTTTTATCCACAATAACCGTGATTTTTTTAATTACCAATGGTTTTTTCACGGATTGTGGAAGCCTGAGAGATTTTTCATCTGGCTTCCTCATTTCTGTGTGCGTGAGGAAATGTGTGAGAGATACGAAGGTTTCCAGAACTTCGTCATATTCAGCACGAGTAATGATTCCACAGTGGATGCGGTGGAGCAATGAGTTGAAAAGAATTGACTGAAGACAAGTAAAAAATAATGGAAGTTATGAGTAGAAATGGCTTCAATTTTTTTAAATCAAAATGACACTTGATGGTTATTCTTTAATGAATTTCACATGAATTTTTTGCACTTCAGGGATTTTTTTACTACCCTGATGGTGATGACTTTTAATGGGAGGAATAATTCATCATGACTTTTAAATGTACTTTTAAATGATTGATTATACTGAGAGAAAAAATTTGCTCTGCCGAAAAACTAGAAGTTCTACGTGAGAATATTTGATGGAGAGGAACAGATTTACGTGATGGGAATTAAGGATAATCGGGCGAGCTGGGAGGGTTGGAAAAAAATCAGTCATTTTTTTCGTTTTTTTTAACGTATTCTTTAAATGATGGAAAAGGCGTGTGCGAAGTTTCATACTGTTGGGGAGCATGGTTAATTTATTATGAATTTTTGAAAAAGTGGTCATTTAACCCGTGATCTTATGGAAATCACCAAAAAACTGCAAAATCCAAGGAAAAAATGCAGCCAATGTCATGAAACTTTAGACACATTTAGAACATGTGATCAATGATTTTTTGAGTGAAAAAGATTGTCGCCTAGGAGTATTGTTTATTAATAATAGCGAAAAAAGTACTGAAAAATGAAATTTCTGCGCACGCAGCCCAAACGAGCAGCAACGTCCCAAGTACCGATCGGGTGGGGGTAGCGCGGTCAATTTAAACGTCTCTTGAGAGAGAGTGATGAAGCGTTGTGATTGGAGCTCCCTCGAGCCAGTGGTACCAGCTCCTGGTGAAAATAAACTACCGACGATGTTGCCACTTTTTCGCATGGATTAATATTTTTTCATTTATTTTAAAAAAAAAACAATCTGAACACCATTCAATGCGTGGAACAGATACAAATAAATTTGATTAGCTCCAAAAATAATTTTTAACCGGAGATACTCTCTAATATTGCTTGAATTTTGAATCCGAATGGGAAAAATTTTTTTGTTCAGCGATTGGTTTTCTGCAGGAAAACAATAGAAACCCCTCCGCCTCACCTCCTACATTTCCTCCTCGCCCGATTATCCTTAACCAACTTGATAGAAGGAAATTTAATATCTTTCACAAAAATTAAATTTCAGTAGCGAAGTGGTAAAACGGTATACGTCAATTTTGACTATTGACCAGTTTTCAATGAATATCTCGGAATCTAAGGGACATAGCAAAATTTTTGTTATAACTTTTTTTGTGGAGACGATTGAGTGCTACAACAAATGTAATTACGAAAATCTCGCTATCTCCCTTAGATGCGGAAATATTCCTCCAAAACTCAACTGCGAGATAAGTCGACTTGAACCCTTTTACCATTTCGGTACTGATTTGATCTGAGAGAACTTCATGGGTTAATACTATAGAAATAGTACATGAAAGAGGAAAGAATATTTTTTCAAAAAAAAAAATCGTCCCCTCGAAATTATTTTGTTTTGCCATTAACACAGTTTTTGGGAAGAAAATTGAAAGGGAGACCGAGGCAAAAGGAGACCCTTCTGTTTTTTTTTGTTTTCCAATGAGACAAATGAGTCTAGTTTTTTTTGCGATATAACGTCGTTAAATAGATCACATAAGTAGGAAAATAAATTTTCAAATCAAAAGAAGGAACTTTTATTTAAGACAATCTCTAATCGTCGTTTTGAGTAATATTCTAATTTTTACGGGAATGAGAAAATTTCTTGTCTCGCAGATATTTCATCTTATAGTTATGAATTTTTGTAAGTTCATCATGACTCGATTTTTTTGTACATCTGAACATTTTTTGGCTGTAAATTTCCGATACATTTTCAGGGAATTTTCATCACATTTTAGTTCCACTAAAATTTCAAGGAATTTCGTCATTGAAAATTCAGAATCTAATGGGAAAATCAATGAGATCCGTAAATATAAGTTTAATTATTCCCTGAAATATAATTGTGAATTTTCAATTCATTGGAAATTCAGTGTTATTTAACACTAAATATTCATTTTTCGTAGAAAATTCGAATAAGTTGAGAAATTCTTGTCTTAATGCTGTTTAAAAATTTAGAATTTTATGTGAAATCTGAAATTTTATCATTTTGTTCTCCCTAAATCGCATTCAAAATTTATCTTCTGAAAATTACTAGTCGACTGTCTATCAAATTTTGAAGACAAGGGCCGATTGATCATAAACCGAGTGAAATAATTGAGAGTTTCTAAGAGTTTCCAATTAAAAGAACAATTTCTGCTACGAAAATTATCACGTTTTGGTGAAAACTCTCTTTTTTTTGTCCACAAGTAAACTGACGTGACAAAAGATCTCTGTAGGAGAACATATAATTTTTCGGCAGAACTAATCTTTTCTTTCAGTATATTTTATGACTTTTTTGTGAAGAAAAAAAACTCAATTGTTCTTTGTAAATGGAATAAGGCGCCTGGGTCGATAGCCAGGAGAATTTCAGCAGAAAATGTCAATATGATGAGCTTCAAAATTGAGAAAAAGCGTTTTTTAAAATGAATTTTTCGTTCTGAAATTCTGAAGAGACTAAAGAAGATTAATGAAGTCGTCATATCGTGCTTTTCAGCTACAATTTCCGGCTATCGACTGAAACCGATTCCATCGTCGAATAATTTATTTTTAATTGCTTTGGCAATTGGAAATTTGATTTTGGCGTTTGAGATTTTTTTTCATCAGAAACGATTCGTCAACATTTGATAAATAATAAATATTCAATTCCGCATTGTGTTTTTGTCTTATCATCAGGCGGTGAACGACGCAGAATTAAAATTAAGTTGTCCGTGAATAGCGTGTGTTACGTCATCGGAAATAGTGAAATTTATATCGACAATTTGAGACATTGAAGTAGACAAGAAAAATGAAGCTCGAGGGAAATAGTTCGAGGGACGACGATGCCAATGGAATTCTCCTGCAGCCGAGGAAGGGCTCGGTGGTGAGAGTTCAGATTGTTCCTGTTCAACCCAAGACCATTACACATTTGCCGAAGAGACCGCCTGTGGATCTTGCATTCACAGATCTGACTTACACTGTTCGAGAAGGCCGAAAAGGAAGTGAGTGATAAAATTTATTTTTATTCTAAAATTAATTCAGCAGCGAAATGGCAAAACGGTTTAAGTCGATTTTCACTGTTGGCCATATTTTAGTGAATAACTCGGAATCTAAGGGAGAAAGCTAAATTTTTATTGAGACCTTTTTTGTAGCACTCAATTTGCTCTAGAAAAAAGGTTATTACGAAAATTCCATTATCTCCTTTAGATTCGGAGATATTTTTCAAAAACTCAATGAAGAAATAAGTCGACTTGAATCGTTTTACTACTTTGCTACTGAATTGATCAATGATCAGTTTGTCATATCGACTTTTGCAGAATTGAAAACAATTCATCGATTAATTTTTTCATAATTCATTTCTATAGATACTGGAGAAGTCAATTTGACAAAAAATTTATTGACCTCGATTTAAGGTGTTTCGTGTAAAAAGGCAAAATAATGAAAAAAATTGGAAAATTCAATGGAGAAATTTCGGAGTGTGCTGCATCATTGAAAATTTTTGCACATTTTTTTCAGGTCTCAGCCTCAAGAAAAAAAAAATTAAATTTGGATGTTTTTGTAACCGCTCCAGCTATAACCTCCGAGGTTACCTCACTCTCAATTAATGAAATTTCCATGGCACCCGAAAAAATAATGAATTATTGAGGAAAAACTAGTGGGTGATAAATCAAATCTTCCTTGAGAACACGTATAAGTTTCAGATTTTTTTCAGATTTCATAATAAAGTTATTTGAACAAATTATCCGAAAAATTATGAGTTTTGGGACAATTACGCCCTTACGCGCAGGCGCGTGATTCTAATGTCGGTGAGCATCATGGGAAAGGTATGGGTTGGACCATGGAACTGAGAGAGAGAAAACACTCGACAGGTTTACCAACTCGAGACGCATTTTAATATTATTTCAGTAATTAGAAAAATATCCAATAAAAATTATTTGACACCCGCAGGTGATGAGAAAAAAATCAATCAATCTGATAAATAAAATCAATATTCGAAAAATGCTCAAATGCACACTTTTTCAACAGTTCCTTGAAAATTGGAAAATTTCGTGCTCAGCGATTGAATCAGGGCTTGAGAACAATAAGTCTCCCTTTCCGTTGCAAATCCCCGGTGATCTACACACGAAATATCTTAATTTGGTTACCCACTTTGAAGTCTTGGAAAATATCTAAAAAACTCTGAAATCGAATCAAAACGTCTGTTTTAACACATTTATGAGAGAGAAAGTTGAAAAAAAAAATTTGTTTGCCAAATGTGAGTGAAATTCTATTAAAAGTCTATGAAAAAGTCTTTAGAAGCCCAAAAAATCTATCGCGCAACAAAATCACGCACTCGAATGAAGTAATTATTTTTTTTATTAGAAAAATAAATTCACATTGTCTTGTACGTAATATTTTTTATCGTACTTCAATGGTTGCAATGATATACTCACTGGCTACAGTGTCGTTGCCTCACGTAGACCGGTCACACTGAGTTCACCTCGTTTCTACTGACCACATGAATGAACATAATTCACCATTTACAGAGCCCGAAATTATTATTACCCAATAATTCGGTCTCTATTTCCCTAATGCCCTCGATAATTCATGCTGGAATCTAATTCGTGGGTTTTTTTAACCTAGTCATTGAGTCGATTCACTGAGGATTTCGCAATGAGAATAGTTACGAGACGGAGAGGGAGAGCATGAGTTTTGCCTTTCATTTTTTTTCATCGTTGAGTTGTTTTTTCTATTCACGAGTCCAGAGGTAAATATGCTCGACGATTTTTCATTCAGAAAATTTCTAGAACGATCAGAGACGGATTATTAGGAGGGAAACGATGAGGTAAACAATTTGGTGAAGCAGGGGAATTTATTATTCGGAGCAATTAGTGATATTTGCTACAGGTCCACCCCGCCATAAATACCTTAAATAATTATTTTAATGCAATTTTTCATAATAATTTAAGAAAATGAAAACCTCTTGGACGTCAACGGTTCAGGCACAAGTACACCGAGAGAAAAACAAACACGTTGTCAAACACTGAGAGAAAAATATAATTCTTCTGACTATATTTCATCGCCATCGAATTATAGTCATTGCAACTATTTTATAGTTCTCCTCACGATAGATTTGTCATGGTTACTTTTGAACTTTGGTTAGGTTAACTGCATTTTGATTTGCAAAAATTACGCTTGTGAAGTTACTATAATGTAATGTGCCACATACAAAAAAAATCGTATCGTTCACCAAAATGCTTCAACTATTTTCTTATTGCAAATCGAACTTCAGGTTTTTCTCTCAGTGAACAAATCTTGTTTGGGCCAACAAAATCGCTAGTTGAAAATTGCCAAAAAAGAATTTCTTTGGTTCGAATTTGAAAGTCCTCAACATGAATAATTGTTCTGCTTTCGACAGCGACGAAATATTTGGCTCAAGAGGCGGATAATTCACACCAGGCGGTGCCTTTTCAGGACGAAAATATCTCATATAGAGGAAAATTTATCAACAAATATTTTATCCCTAAGTTACAAGATTGCTATCATATCTTTATTATTGTTTCATTTAAGGGTTCATTTGTTGTCTGTGATTATTAGACAACCGAAACGAAAAACTACTGTCCCTTGTCTCGCATAAAACTAAGATTTTTTGGGACCAAAATACGTATGGGAGTATCGAATAACGAAGGAGTAGTGCTAGAAATGACATTTCTTGCGTGTACAGAGAATGCAATTTTTTTTTGAACTATTAAATCCATTTTTGCGACAAAAATTTTTCATTCCGGCGCACTCTGCATATTTGGCACAAAAACATCCTTTGATAATTTTCAAAAGAATATTTTCTTGGCACACAGAGAGAAAAATCTGAAGTTCGATTTGCAATAAGAAAATAGTTGAGGCATTTTGGTGAACGATACGATTTTTTTTTGTATGCGGCACATAACATTATAGTAACTTCACAAACGTAATTTTTGGAAATCAAAATGCAGTTAAACTAACCAAAGTTCAAAAGTAATCAGAACGAATCTATCGTGAGGAGAACTATAAAATAGTTGCAATGACTACATTCTATTGTAGTAATTACTTCTCCGGCCATAGTTACCGTAACCCATGAAAAATGGAATGGAATATAGTCAGAAGAATTATATTTTCCTCTCAGTGCACAAGTAAGACTTGTTTGAGAACTTTGTCATTTTTCCCTCAGTGTACTTCATGGGCTAGATGATCGTATTGACGAGTGTCATGATAAATACCGACCTATGATCTTGTCCAATATGACGCTTATCTCCTCACTACTGACGCGTCAATCTCCATTTAATTAAAGACAATAAGGAATTTTTCTAGAAAACGTGATACACACTTCTTGCATCAAATGATACTTTGTATAGGATATGTGTGGAGAGCAAAAACGATGCGATGAAACGGGTGGAGGAAAATGGCGATGGGATGAGGAATGCTTGCTGATGCTAATGAGGACAGCTGATGAGTCTGACGCGTGATTGTAAATAATGGCCACGAGATAATGAGCCTCCTTATGCTGATAATCACGCGGACGACGGATCAAATTCACTCGGCGAGTTGCGTATATCTGTCCTTCACATTTGATGATTTTCTGATCAACGCCAATTAAATTTACCAGATTAATTTTTCCTTGCGAATGCCAGTTTTGCAGTCGTTCAAATTTAAATTGAGGATTTTTTATGTCATATCAACTCATTACTTTGAAAAAAGTATAAAAATGCAATTTTTAGAATGTGTCCGTGCGTAGATGTGTACAAAATAGATCTCGTATTTTCTCTTAAGGCATTTCGTGTGTAGATTACGGTGGTGAAACGGAAGGGGAGTCTTATTGTTCTCGAGCCCTGATTCAATCGCCGAACACGAAATTTTCCAATTTTCAAGTAACTTTTTAAGTGTGCATTTGAAGATTTTTTGAATATTGATTTTATTTATCAGATTGATTGATTTTTTTCTCATCACCTACGGGTGTCAAATAATTTTTATTGGATGTTTTTCTAATTATTGAAATAATATTAAAATGCGTCGCGAGTTGGTAAACCTGTCGAGTGTTTTCTCTCTCTCAGTTCAATGGTCCAATCCATACCTTTCCCATGATGTTCACTGACATTCGAATCACGCGCCAGCGCGTGAGGGCTAATTGCCCCGAAACTCAAAATTTTCCAAATCATTTGTTCAAATAACTTTCTCATGAAATCTGAAAAAAAATCTGAAACTCATACGTGTTCTCAAGAAAGATTTGATTTATCAGCCACTAGTTTTTCCTCAATATTTAATTATTTTTTTGGGTACCATGGAAATTTTCCTAATTGAGAGTGGGGTAACCTCGGAGGTTATAGCTGGAGGGGTTACGAAAACATCTAAATTTCATAATTTTTTTCCTTGAGATTGACATCTGAAAAAAATGTACAAAAATTCTCAATGGTGCAGCATACTCAGGCATTTCTCCCATCAATTTTCCACTTTTTTCTTTCATATTTTGACTTTTCACACGAAACACCTTAAGGATACCCAAGTTCGCGCAATTTTTTCTGCAGGAAATCCTCCTCAGAGTTGATGAAATATACCAAAAGTATTTTTTAGGTGCAATATTGACTTTAGTGGTCCAATGTCGACAAATCGTCGTAAACAAAGACGTAGTGTGATTTGAGATGTTTTTCGTTAAATGTTGAATGCTTTTCAATATTTGAAATGAAACATGAGGGCTTTCACATCAGCCTCGTCTGGTTCAAGGTTGTCGAACATTCTAAAATGATTATGTTATGCAAATTTTGAAGGCTTCAATCTAATGTTCCATTTCTAATCGTTTCGAAAAGTTTAAAAATTCTGAAAAAAATTTGGAAAGACCATTTTTTAAGGAAGATTGATCAAATAATCGAAGAATAACTTTTTTTTACACAAATTACGAACTTCTATTAGAAACTTTATGAACAATCAATTGTCCAATTTGACAATTGTTTTAGAAATTGTAAAAAAATGTTTATAATCAAAATTTTATCAGAAG